TGCTTTATCTTGTTTCTGTTGAAATATATTTAAAGTAATTTACAGATGTTAAGATATTTTGCTCTAAATATTTCAGTATACATTTCTAAGAAATAAGGATATCTTCTCAAAAAACCACAATGCTATTATCACATATTTATGATATCTTTCACTCTAAATTTCAAATTTGGCCAGGTGCAGTGGCTCAGACCTATAATCCCAACACTTGGGAGGCTGAGGCAGGAGAATCACTTGAGCCCAGGAGTTCAAGACCAGCCTGAGCAACACAGTGAAACCCTGATCTATTTAAAAAAATAAGTCTAAAATTTTTATGTAGTTAAAACTGTTGGCCGGGCATAGTGGCTCACGCTTGTGCAACCCCAGCATGTTGGGAGGTCGAGGCGGGTGAATCACCTGAGGTCAGGAGTTCAAGACCAGCCTGACCAATATGAGGAAACCCTGTCTCTACTAAAAAAAAAAAAAAAAAAAAAGCAAAAATTAGCCAGATGTGATGGTATGCGCCTGTAATCCCGACTACTCAGGAGGCTGAGACAGGAGAATCAATTGAACCTGGGGAGGCAGAGGTTGCAGTGAGCTGAGATCTCACCACTGCACTCCAGCCGGGGCAGCAAGAGCGAAACTCCTTCTCAAAAAACAAAAAACTGTCAATCTTTTATTATTTTGCATTGCCATCTGTTTTAGGAAGGCCTTTCTCATGCAGGGCTATAAAAACACTTAGGTATATTGTCATCTGTAACTTTTATGGTGTTTTTTACTTTTACATATATATTCTTAACCACCTGTTCATGTCCTTTGTCAATGTTTCCATTAGTTGTTTTTCTAATAATTTGTACAACTTGTTTCTTGAAAAAGTTCTCTCTGTTAGACGTATTCTAAGTATTTTTCCTAGTTTTGATCTTGCATATGGCTAGGCAGTCATTTTCATCAAATTTGTCCTTTATGATTTTTAGGTTTTGTGTCAGTCTTAGAAAAATCTTCCCTGTTCCAATATATCTATACATAAATATCTCCATTTATATATCCATATCACCTGTGTTTTATTCTAGCATTTTTGTGATTTTTATCTTATTTTGAGTCTTTAATCCATCTAATATTCATTTTGATATGAAAAATAAGGTGGGGAATCCAGCCTTTTTCACTCTCCCTCCCCCAATGTGGGGAGCCAGTGTCTAACAGCAATTGCTAAAACCTCTACCTTTTCCTTATGGGTTTGCAATGTCACCTTCACCATATACTCAATTTCCATAGGCATTTATATCTATTTATGGACTATACGCTTTTCTTTTGATTTGTCTATGCCTTTTTTCCTGCTTTAATTACTATAGAAATAAAAATGTTTTCACATTTGAGAAGGCTACTTCCTTCTTTTAAATTTTTTGGCTATTCATGCATGTTTAGCTTTTTAAAAGAATTTGCTTTATGGTTCCAGGGTAAAGGGAGGCAAAAGTAGATATGGATTGACCAGAAGGAAGTTTCTTGCAGTATTCCAGGAGAGCAATGGTGGAGACTAATGGGGTATGATGGATCACCTATCCCACTTGATGTGGTTTGGCTGTGTATCCACTCACATCTCATCTTGAATTGTGGCTCTCATAATTCCCATGTGTCATGGGAGGATCCATGTGGGAGGTAATTGAATCACAGGGATGGGTCTTTCTCATGCTGTTCTCATGATAGTGAATAAGTCTCGCAAGATCTGATGGTTTTGTAAAGGTGAGTTCCTACACAAGCTCTCTTGCCTGCCACCATGTAAGACGTGACTTTGCTTCTCATTTGTTTTCAGTCATGATTATGAGGCCTCCCAGTCATGTGGAACTGTGAGTCAATTAAACATCTTTCCTTTATAAATTGCCCAGTCTCGGGTATGTCTTTATAAGCAACATGAGAACAGATTAATACACCACTTAATTCCAAACCTCAGTCATTTTCAGGTATACCACTTTTATACATTTGGACATATATGTTACCTGCACTATTATTAATTTTTAAATTAATTCAGTCCAGTTTTAAATTTCAAATACTTGTATTAGATTTGTTCTATGCAATACATCTGAAAGCATGGACCAGATGTAGTAGTTCTATTTTTCCAACATTTTAAACTGAATAGATCACCAATTAAAATAAACATTGTTTTTCCTTGTAGTATCTAAAACTATTTGTGCTACCAGCAGTTTGAGAAACACTGGTCAGAGCAAACTGTTCTCATCAGTTCTCTACTTAAAAGGGGTTCTGGGCTGGTTGGTAATGTCTGTTGCTTGATCAGGATGCTGGCTACACAGGTCGGTTGTTTGTGAAAATCATCAAGGTGTTCACTTGTATGATATATGCATGTTTCTGTGTAATTATTATTATCCAATAAAAAGTTTTAAAAGCTTTAAAAAGTTAAAAAAACTGGCCAGGCACAGTGGCTCACACCTGTAATCCTAGCACTTCGGGAGGCCGATGTGGGAGGACTGCTTGAGGTCAAGAACTCAAGATCAACCTGGCCACCATAGCAAGATCCCATCTCTATTTTTTAAAATAAATTATTTAAAAATAAAAAAAGTATAGCTCTATTGTTTTGTGCTAATTACTGGTAATAAGATTTGTTACATGGGCTCTTACATAGGTTATGCAAAGAAATAGGCTAATGAAATGAGAAATAGCACACTAACTTAAGACATTGGTAGCAGTTCTCTTCTTTAGGGTTCTGATGTTTCTGCACTCTTAGTTCTGATGTCTCACAAAGACCTGAAAAGGGCCCCAGGTCTGAAACAGACCACAGATGATATCACAGGCCAGTCATGACATTCATGAGATGTTATAATGTTGGTGAATTTATCTGTAGGGCAGAATTAGACAATAATGCCAAAGGCCAAAGCCTCAATATCCTTATCTGTTAGTCTTTATTAAAGGTTCACAGAAATAAATGGAAAATGCCATCCTAACCTCACAGAGATCAAATTAAGCAGTGAGTTTGCAGGGAATCAAATATCTTGTATTGACCTGTCACAAACACTTATTCAGATGCAAGTAAACACATACCACACTCTTTTTAAACCTAAGGTGATTCTGGCTTTGAGACTTCTAAATTCTCTACTTTTGGGGTTAAACTCTCACTGGGCACCCTTGGCACACATATTAATAAAGGTTATGAAATGTTTGACACTAAAATCTCATTGCCAAATAGAAGTTGCTGCTTCCCAACATGAAGATTCAAACGGCTTGTATTTTTTGTCCTTTTAAAAACAACATAAAATAATCCAGTTTCCTCCTGCAGGTAGCCATGGAGACTAAGTGCAAACATTGCAGTGACTGAGTCATACTAAAAGTGATAGCATTCATCAAGGACATCTATTAATATGCTTCTCATTAAAAAACAATAAAGCTAACTACCTTAAAATTTAATTGTCAGGTTTTCAAGTATAAGTCCCCTTGGCTTCATGATTATTTGAGGGCCAGTTCAATAGGAAACGCCCACGGAGAAAGAAGCAGATGATTGCTTGTCAGAGGAAAACCTGAAGTCTTGTTTCCTCCAGTGTTTCTCAAAGACCTATTCATTTCCTGTTTCTACCATTTGGGTCTCCTTCCGGGGGATGCCCCTACACTTCAATCTGGAGCACTGTTTCTTACACTGAATCTCCCCAGCACTGGAAGTCTGAGTGTGAGTGTGTCATTCCTAACCTTTAAAAGGCTTCTCTCTCCATTCAGGAGTCCCCGGGAGACCTTCCTGAGATGGCACACTCACTCTCAATGTATACTTTTAGGCCAACCCATTCGCATAATCTGCTTTCTGGAAAGCTTTTGGAATCTTAGGCCAATTAAATTGCACCTCAAGTGGCTCAAAATCTAATTGCTCAGGGCTGCCAGCTTCTTTTGTTGTTTCCCCCCACCCAAAAGCAATATAACCCTTTCTACCAATGCAATTTGCTGAAAGCACTGCTGAGGTAGGGATTAGCATGAGGCTTCCAATTGCAGCTTCAGAGATCCCGGTGCCAGGTGATGTAATTCTACCAACTGAGTCTCAAATGGGGGTTCAGGACATGACCCGCAGAGTGGAGCATCTGCCAGTGCAAACCTGCACTGGCTATTTAAAGAGCTCCCTGGTGAGGAAGGGCTCAGGCCTGGAGGACAGGGACAAGGTGGCCAAGAAGTCCTGCTCTGGACAAGCCTTTGCAAATGGAGCTCAGGGTATTGGAGGCAAGGACAGGGCAAGGGTGAGGGGCCAATCGTTCACAAGGTGACAGAGGGTGCAGGCAGGCAGAATACAAGAGGAAGTAGGGCCCCACCTGGGCAAAGGATTATTTATTCTCTTCAACTACAACTTGACAAGGCCACATGGCATCAGCCTAGCGTATCATAATAGTGCTTACATATACTGTGGTGGGTGATGCACGTTTGTTATCTTCTCACCTTTCACATTTGCAATCTAAAGACAATGAGATTTTTTTTTAAATTGTGAATTTTAGCTGTTATTTTAGATTGTCCAAATGTTCCCTCCACACTCAGTTAGTATGATAAAATACGGATTTCTAGTTTTGGAGAGGAGGCAAGGGTGTGATCAAGATGTGATATGCTTTTCTAAACTGTATTTCAATCTTTATATTATTTTAGGACATGCATTCTCACTTACATGGTCTCAGTTTTACAACTTGATATAATTCCTTATACCTGATTCAGTGTAGAGCTTTGTATCCTTCTAAAACCTCATCTCACAGAAGTATGTTCTCTCAGGTTGAATTCTCCCAGAAGTAGACTCTGAGTCAAGGATTCAGATATAAGAGGTTTATTCAGGAAAGGCTCCCAGAGACACCAGTAAATAAATGGGAGGAGGATAGGGAAAGGGATTAAGCCCAGCAAGGGCGTGATTTCATGTAACGTCCCAGCCTCAGGCTGATCTCAAGGAAAGGGAGCTCTAGAGCATAAATTACGCCTCAGAGAATGTCCTTCTCCTTGAGGCAAGGGAGCTGGGTTTTTGACTCATAGCCCAGTCAGTCAGTGGCCTTGGCCAAGGGGAGTGGTGGGTGGGGTGACCATGGGGACAGAGAACTCCCAGACCCTGCTGGCTCTCCATATGGGCTGACTGGCTCCAATACCAGGTCACAGGTGCCAGCCTTTAACCACAAAGCACTTAATTGGGATTGGGCACACAGAGCTGGCCAGAGACCCTAGGGGATCTGGGTGGCCACCAACAGTGCTGGCCATGGAGCAGCACTACCATTACTAGCCTGCACACCGCCCGGCACCAGTTACAGGTCTTTCATTACATTCTGCTGCAAGAGGAAATGAATAATATCTTTTGACAGTCCTGGGTTTGGCTTTTCATCATTCAAAGATGTACTTCCTTCCTCCAGTGGATAGAAGTGGGTGTCCTTGGAATGCCTCTGTAAGACTGAGCAGCCGTCCCGGTTGAAGATGACCCGGGCCATTTGAAAACTGCGGAGAGCATACTTTTGGCTCTCCTGGCCTCTTAGTTGAGTGATTTTCTGAGACAGGCACTTGCAGACAGATGCAGAGAGTGGGTTCGCAGAGCCTGGCTGTGGATGGCCAAACATTTCATAGAATCTATCCAGGGATTTCCGAAGCTCATCATCCTCTTCCTTCTCTGACTGGCCTTTCACAGCCGGGTCAAGCCAGAAGTTCTCCGAGGCCCAGGAGTTACTGTGTTCTGTATTTAGGTTACTGGTATCTGCAAGACAAAACATATTCCAATACTCAAACACACAATCAAAAATATCAGAAAGCAAGCCAGGAGCAGATGATGTCTATTTTCAGTTCCACATGCTTACTGCTCCTGAGTAACTGGCAATGGGAAGAATCAGCTGATTTCAAAACCTGTTCTCACCATCCGGAGGTTATGCCACTTGCTTGCTCGCAACAAGAACATATTACTTGTGTGGACCAAGGATTCTTAGCCCGATGTCCCTGTATAGAAATTCAGGGTGCCTGTGAACTTGGATGGAAAAAATATACACATGTATGTAGTTACTTTCACTAACCACAACCTGAAATGAAGCATTTCCTCCCACGATGAATGTAGGCCGCAAATCACAGTATTAATAGTAGTACCTGTCACTTTGTCACCAATAGATCTCAGCTGTTACAGGAAAAACTTGGGACTGTAGTGCTCACCCCCAAACTGGGAAGGTATTGAAAGACCAAAGAATAACATGGACAAGTCCAGCTTGATGATTAGGACTTATAAACAGGGCACTCCTGGATGGCAGCAGGATAGCTCCAGAGATCCGTGCGTGTGCACGATGGGACTGTTTTCCTTGGTAGGTTCTCAGATTCTCTCCGGGATATGAGTTTTCAAGGACACCTACTCCTCAGCTGGGCACCATGGCCTTGGCTCACTGCCCAGTCTTCAGGGTTCAAGCAGCAGACATAGACTCTTAAGTAACCTGGTGGGGGACCCTTCACACTACAAAAACTATTTTCATATTATATAGTATGTCGAAGGCGTTTAAAAATATTTACACTATCACTATGCTATGGACTGAATTGTGTCCCCACAAAATTCACATGTTGAAGCTGTAACCCCTACCATGACTATATTTGGAGAGAGGGCTTTTTAGGAGGTAATTAAAGTTAAATGAGGTCTATAGGTAGGATCCTAATCTGATAAGATTGGTAACCTTATAAAAGGAGAAAGAGAGAAGGAGATTTCTTTTTTATTTCTATTTGCAAGCACTAAGGAAGAGCCATGTGAGCACACAGGTGGCTGTCTGCAAGCCAGGAAAGGAGCCCTCACCAGAAGCTGACCATGACAGACCCTGATATAAGCTTTTGGACCTCCTGCTCTTGGACCTCCATGACAGACCCTGATATAAGCTTTTATGCATCACTAGCTTTGACATTTCCCTGCCCCTACGAACTCAATCAGTAGCTATAATACACATATCTGTACTTGCCAATGCTGAAGGAAGGTGCATGGTGCAGTGAATGGAGCTTTAGGAAAGTAGGTAGGATTTTGGTTTGGGTGCTAATTTTGCTACTAGCTGGAAATGACACCTTGGACAAGTCATACAACCTTTCTGGGCTCCAACTTTCTGAACTTTAAAATGAGGATTTCACTAAACAATCTTTCTTCTAGAATGTCTATGGTAATATAAAGATCAGAGAAATGGATTATCCGAAAGTATCAGCACATTCTAAAAGAATATGGACATGTATTCTTTGAGTCACATGCAGGCCTACACATGGACAAGCACTCAACCATTCAACACATATTTACAGAAAGCTGATATTAACGCAACTCATTACAAGTTGTTGAAGATATACAGATGGATGCCGAAGACCATGTCCCTCACCTAAGGTACTTGGAACCTAAGTAGGAAGAAGAGACATTGTTACAGACATTACACAACTGAAATATAGTCACAGCATGTACATAGATATGAAATGATGTAGTGACATTAACTGGGACACTGTGGACTCAGTGGAGACATGCAGTGCAAGGGTACCAGAATGAGTGCATGCTCCCTGTTCGGAGGAGGTGTCCTGCAATCTTATTCTGAAAGGACCATGGCCATAGAGAAGCAGGGTTGATGAACAAAGGCCAAGTGACAAGAAGAAATAGAAACTAAATTTCTCCATGGCTGGTTCCGGTTCTCCTCCTCTGCCAGCTGGCCTTTCTTCAGTAGCCTGAGACCCAGCCTAGAGGCTCAAGGAGAGAGAGAACTCAGAGTGGCCAGGGGGGACCCAAAACAGAGACCACACTTTGTAAAGAATTCGATAGCAGGGGCAGTATTTCCACTACACTAGTTTCCAGAAAGCTTAAGGCTATGTCCCAGGCCCCTCCTTTTTTTTTTTTTTTTTTTTTTTTTTAAGGAATAGTAAAGAAACTTTTCTTGACCTTGCTATGCCCAGAGCTTCTGCCCAAGTTCTTCCCAACAACCCTATCACTAGACTGAAGCCTCCAGGATGGGTGGAAGGGGAGGGAGGCAGATGCTGGTCTCTTTCTGGTCCTGATGGCATAGAAGCAGCAGGAGAGGAGTTCTTGGCCTGTTCTCTTTAGAACTGCCAAGTCTGTGAAAACCAAGGAAGGACTGAGCTACTGTCCCAGACTGAAGTAGGCTAAAAACAGCCATGACAGCCAAACACAAAAAAAATTTTTTTAAACTGCGTCTTTTCATTGTAAAGCACATTACTGGGGCAACTGGAGAGCTGTGAATGGGGTCCAAGGATTAGACAGTAGTAACGCATCACTGTTAATTTCTTGGTTTTGATGATTTTATTGTATTTTAGAAGAGAATGTCCTTGTTTGTAGAAAAATCAGGAGTGGTGGCCTTCAGGTGAGCAAATCTCAAATAATTCACGAAAAGGGGCTCTTTGTTTTAAAAAATTGTTGTAAAAAAATTAAAACAAACCTCTGCGGGGACAGATGTTAAAACTTCCTTTGGTGGCCTACTTTAATATCAAGCAACCAAATAGGAAGCCTTAGCTCGGGTAGTTGCCTAACAAATCATGTTGCTGTTAGAAAGCTGAAGGGAGAAGGAGAGGGAATGGGGTCCCGTGATGGCAGGATGACGGGTCCCTTCCTCCCTTCTTCCCCGCAGATGACCTTGTCCTGGGTAGGGGTTGGGGGGTAGTGGCTGGAAGATAGAAACTGGGAAGGGCCAATGGGGTGGGTGGGAGAGAGCAGGGGATCCCCAGAAGCAACACTGGGAAAGTTGAACCCCCGAAACTGTCCACGTATACAGAAAACGCCAAGCAACATGGCACGTACTTGTTAAGTAAATGGTCTTAAGTAAGTCCATTACTTACTTAATGACTTACTAAGTAAGCCATTACTTAAATGACCATTAAGTAAATGGTCAGTGTACTTTGATATGCAGGATTTTAAATTTTCATCTGTGTTTCATTTAATTTTAAAATTTTGAAATCCAGTGTCCACAAAAGAGCCTAAAAGCTACCTGTCTCCTATATTTTTCATGCACATGTCAGGCAGTCTGCCAGAGAAACAACCCTTCCCCTTCAGAAGACCAATGACATACAGGTTGAGTCATTTACTATGTCAGCTCTTTTGAACACTGACTGAAGTCCATTTCAGTCTTTGATTTCCTTTTAAAATTTGCTTTACTACCAACTATAAAGCCTCCTCTCTAATCATAAGGCTGTTGTAGCTTTTTGGATGTCACCTTTTCTTTGCCAGCAAATAGAGCTAATTGCTCTTCCTTTCCTGATGTGCCCATGTGTGGAAAGATGGGTACTAGTCAGTTCCTGCTCAGTGATGCATCCTCACAGCTACATTCAAACCCCACCTTCTTCTCTCTGTTGGTGCATTCCAACCTTGCAGAGCTGTCAAAGGGGGATAGCAATGTCTTCAGGGAGAGTCTAGGGATGCTTTTGTGTCAGGGATTGCAAAGTGCTACTTGCATTTAGTGAGTGGGGTCAAGGATGTAAACATTCCACAGTGCACAGGACAAAGAATGGTCCTTCTCCCAAATACCAATAATGTCCCCCCACCCCTCTTCCCTCCCCTGGCTCAAAGGATGGATCTTGAAAGGAGTGGGAACTCAATGTTGAATCCTGCTGCACTATAATATTTGATTTGCCTTGAGCTCCCTAAGAGATTTTGCTGTTCCCATTCCCTGCACAGCACCCTTCTTGCTGGTACCTATTCGAGTTACGCATTTACCCTTCTCAAACCTTGAGATGGCTTTTTTACCCCACAATGGTTGAGGGGAAAAACCACTGGCCCTGGTCCTAATGATTCCGGTATTATTTAAATTGAATGGAACTTCCCTTTTTATTTCAATATATTTTCCATCATGAGTAGGATTTCTTTAGAAATTAGAAGAAGAAAAAGAGGAGGGCAGGGCTTGATATTACAATGCTTTTGCATGCATCCAATTGTTAAATTTTCTCTTTGCCAACAAGAAAATAGATAACATATACACACTTCAGATTCCTTTTGAGGTGAAGTCTTATTCTGTTACCCAAGATGGAGTGCAGTGGCATGATCTCAACTCACTGCAGCCTCCACCTCCTGGGCTCAAATGATCCTGTCACCTCAGCCTCCTGAGTAGCTGGGACCACAGGTGCATGCCACTATGCCTGGCTAATTTTTTGTATTTTTGGTAGAGATGGGGTTTTGCCATGTTGGTCAGGCTGGTCTCGAACTCCTGGCCTCCAGTGATTTGCCCACCTTGGCCTCCCAAAGTGCTAGGATTATAGGCATGAGCCACCATGCTCAGCCTGATACTTGAGATTGTTATACACCTAAAAATATTTTTACATCTTTAAGAGTTGTAGGTGCTTATTTGAATTCAGAAGACAGTCAACTGGCATGGAGCACTTGAGATTAATGATTGTGTTCTGCGAGAGATGCCATTAGCCTTTGGAAACCCAGATATCTAATGAGGGATTCTTCCAGAGAACTTTCCATGGCTATTTCTGTGGTTCATAAATGCACAGCAGGGTTTCATCTCTGTGAAACATTTTTGCTTTCAACTGTAACAGGTTTCTACTAAATAGATTTGATACTTAGAATTCTGCCTTCTGCATGCATCTGAATCAATAGCCACCCACCCACGCTGCTTGATTTGTCCAGAGTTTCTTTTACTAGCAACTGCTCATTAAGAGGCCATATGTATGGTTTTAAGGATATTACAGAGCTGAAAGAAATCCAAGACTTTGTTTTGTTTTGTTTTGTTTTGAGACGGAATCTCACTCTGTCGCCTA